GTTTTCCATAATGCTTTATTAATCTTGGAAGCTTTACACTCTAGCAATATGTCGATACTTTACGCTATTCAAAAACGAGATACCCTACAAGCATACAAAGGGTATCGGCACGGGCGTGGTTTATAACCTTCCTTAGACGGGAACAGCAACACATCCAAGTCTCCCTCACGAGCCACGCAGATCACCTTAGAGGACATTGCCATTAATGTAGGCCACCAAAGTTCTCTAGGGTACCCCCCTGGCACAATAATAGTGAAGGCTCGTTGAAATTTACTCAGAAACCTCACAACCGGTGCTATGAGTGAAAMCGGTGGGAATACATATGGGTTAGACAAGTAACCCTTATCTTCATCCAGATTCTGCGCAAACAAATTGACACCAAGTGATTGAGGTGTGGCCCATGGAGTAAAGTGAGGCAGACTTTCTCCGCTCTTATCTAAATGGACGTTCGAGTCGAGCGACATTAGGTCAATTGAGTGTCCTGACGGACCTCCGAAAGCCATCTCCACTTGTCCCCATGCYTTTGACGAAAGCATAGCGTCGGAGGCTGACAGCCGTCTCGATGGGCCATCTGCCTGGTTCTGCTTTGACGGAACATACGCCAAGTTAATTTGCACATTACGTTTGAATGAGCTCTGATAGAGTCTCTTGGTAATCTCYGTCAGCTGAGGCGACCTTCGGCTTCCCTGACCATTAAATGTGTCAATCACAACCCGACTGTCCACTTGGATATCTACYCGACAGTCGCGGACATGATCAGGCGCCGACTCTAGTGCATGACAGATCGCCATCATTTCCTTCGACGAAATGTGCAATGCTCGCTCACTTTCACTCCAGTAATCAGCTAGGTTATCTTCTCCTCCCGCTCCATGGACTACAYATCCCCAGCCGGAGTTGGAGGCATCGGTAGATAAGGACATTCGCACGTGTCTCTCGTCCCTCCACGGAACAAAATCTGTCCACGTGTCTAAAAAACGCCAATGTTCAATTTCTTCCTTTAAATGCTCTGTCAGTCGTACATGATCTGCTCCTCTCGATAATGCTATGGCTGTGCTCATATTCCTAATGTACAACTTGGCCGCCGGAACTGCTAAGGAAAGAGAGATGCATTTCCCTTGTAGCCTCTGAAGTGACTTAACATGCACGTTCTTGAAGGACAGGATATGCTCCCGCAATGTCCCAAAGGAAGTGATCTTTCTTGCCGGAACCAGGAAAGCTTGCTTTTCAGAATCAACTATCATACCAAGGTATTCTAGCTGCTTTGATGGCATTAGTACGGATTTCTCCAAACCAATAGTGTATCCCAATTGCGTCAGTACCGACATCACTACAACAATGGCTGCCATTGCCGCTGAAAATCGATACCGGTCAGTCCGTTCCGACATTGGG